GCACTCCTCCACTGCCGGGAGTGGATCGTTTGGAGCTTATCAGAGGCTCTAATGCCTCGCGTTGAGTCAGCAAACCGCTCCTTGAGGAGCTTGAGGAATTGGGAAAGAGGAGTGACTTTGGAATATGCAACCAGGTTGTTTTCACAACCGGCTGAGGGCCTGGAAGGTCACAAGGATTTGTTCCTCTGCTAGGATATGCTGCAAGTAAATATAACTATTGACACTGGCTTCCCAGTTGTCAAAGTTTTCTTCCTTCTTTCCCCCGTACGCATCCGGAAACTTAAGCTTCACTGGGTCCTTATGGGGCCTGGCCTCTCCCTCTGTGGCGCCTACAGCTTTGGCACCCTGGATGGCGCCCTCACAAAACTTCCCTACATTGTCTCTCAATTGCTTGACTTTGCCGCCAATGTGGGTGACGACCTCTCGCGCAAAATCCCTGAAACCAGACCGCATGGCACTCAACGCTACATCTTGGCTCCAACTTGCCTGGCGCTCCTCCATCCAGGCCTTGCTCAACACCTCTAGATAGCCCAGTACCTTGTCCCACTTGGCCTTATCATTTGGTTGGGCCAGCACCTCCGCTCTACACTCCTGCACCTTTGCCACTGCTGCGGTCATCTTATTCACTTCCTCTCTCCTCCTCTTCTTCTCCCTTTTCATTCTCAACTTCCATGCTAACTTTTGCTCGTCTTCCCTCTCTCTTCGTTCCATTGGGTCTGTCATGGCTGCTAGCTCAGCGGCCAGGGCAGCCTTCTCATCCTTAGTCACATATGACTCCGCCTCCTCATCTTCCCCCAACGATAAATTAGCGACCCACTCGCTGATCTTCTTCTCCAGCTCAGTATCTGTCTCCCACTTCATCGTGCCACCACTGCTCCCTTCTCCACTCTCAATTCTCATTCTCTCTTTCTCTTCTTCTGCTGTCGCTTCTGCTTCAGCAACCTTGCTTCTTTCTTCCTCCTCCTGTTGTACCCTCTTCATCTCCTCCTCCAACCTCTTCATCTTCGCCGCTTGCTCATCTGCGATAGCCTTTAGCTTCGCCTTCTTCTCGCGCTCTTTTTTCTCCTTGTTCTCTTTCACTAAGGCGGCCATCTTTGCTTGCTGCTCAGGGGTGTAGGGACTAGTCTCTCTCCCACTACGGGTCTCAACCATTGTGATAAGTGTACAACCGGGTTAGTGGTTCCAAACCTCACCACGTAGACTCTGACCCCTGACTGACAAACCTAAAGACTCAATCTAAGACTTACAGAATCCTAACAAGGACCCTGTCAACTATGGTCTCTAGCCTATACCTATGCTATGGCTGTCACTACTGAACCAGTGGCTGATCAGGAGGCATTTAAGGAGATCCCCCGTAACTCCGCAAGAATTCTTTAACGTCGCAGACAGGACGACGTGATCAGCTTGGTTATGCCTGTGCTTTCAGCCCACAACTCAACCTTTCCAGCCTACTGTGCCACACCGAGCAGCCCGCCGGTCTGTACCGGTCCTTGGGAGGGTTTGACCTCCGGGACAGTCGAGTCGTCAGACACAGATCWTCAGCCTTACTTGGTCTGGTAGGGGAGTGGTTCCAACAAGCCCTCAACACTTAAAGACGGCCTCCGTTTCAGCCTGCAGCTCAGAGTTCGGACCCTCAACACTGAAACTGAGCAGACCTGCCGAACAGTACCGGTCATTGGGCTAGACGAGTTGTTTAACGAGCGCTCGCCGCTCATGCCCAGGTCTCCAGATACCAGAGTAGATTTTAGTCCTACTTAGTCCCGTGCAAGTTTGGCAGCAAGGCCCTATCCTTCATCCACAGAGTTCTATGACCTAGGACAGAAGAGACTCAATGCAGAAAGAATAGACAGACAGACTGTACTCAGCAAGTACCAAGGGGGATGTGCACGTCCATAGGGCAAGGGGCAGGCTAAGGGCTTGGCGAGATGTTACCAACTCCAGCTTGGTCAAAGTCTTGGTCAACGCCAGTCAACGCTGCTATGACCCTCGGTCAACTTCGGTCAACTCCGATCAATGCCTCCGGTCAACCCTCTCGGTCAACTTCCCGGTCAGCTATGGCTGCCGGCACTTCTTCCTCGCCAAT